ATTTCAGAATTCTTCCTGATAAAATTAATATACTTTTTTTGGTAAAAATTTGGGGAACTTTTCTACACAGAAAAGAATTAAAATCATGTGTATTCTTACCACTCAGGGATAATCATTGTTGGCATTTTATCTTAGCATTTTTTTCCTATGCTTTTGATTTTAAGTAATAGAAAACCTCAAACTTGTTTATACCATAAAGAAAACTGACTGGTTCACATAAATGAAAAGTCCAAGGTCCTTGTTCATTTCCTTCTCCCTACTGTGCCTATCTTGGTCTCTGCGTCTTTCTAAGACTGACTTCTCTCATGGCCCCAAGATGTCTGTCAGCATCTTCCTCTTGTCCAACAAGAAAGAGAATATCAGCATTCTCTGCAAAAGTCCTGACAGTCATTCTATTAAACTATTTTATGGTCAATGCCCACTCTGACTCAATCATTAAGTCCAAAGAGACGGAATGTACTGATTGGATAGCCTAGGTTAGTTACATCACCCCCAAAGGCAGAGTGAAATCAACTTGTCTGGAAACACATGGATCCCTGAAGAGAAAATGGTGCTGTTGGGAAGGGAGTGGGGCATTTTAAAGAAACAAACTAAATGTTTTTAAAGAAATTTGACATCATATTACATATAGTCAAACAACACATTTTAAGCCACTCTTTTGTCTTTCTCTTCTTTACTCAACTTTGATTAGATTTTATGGATGGCCCAGAGTTTCTACTTTTTCAGTGAAGATCATCCTCAAAATTTCACTAGGGAATACCCAACAGGCATTAAAAATTATGATATAGATCTATCTATATGGATAAAAATGTTAATGATATATTATTAAATGAAAAGGCTTACTAAAATTTATGTGAATAAAAAGTCATATGTATTGTATAATCCTATTTTTCTTAAATAATCTATAGTTGCCTAGAAAAAATGATACATGGTAAAATATTAACCTAAGTTATCCACAGGTGTCATTTTCATGTTCTTCATTCCCTTATCTATATCATCTGAATATTTTAAAATTGTTACTTATTACTTTCATAATCAGGAAAAAAACATTAGAATTACTTCATTTTGGAAAAAGTAAAATTTACCAGGAATCTACATGTACATCACATTGCCTCAACACATATTTTATATGACCCTCGTCATTATATTAAACCACTTGGTTTATTCCTCCCATCAATTTTGATCAGCTGGAGTTGAGGGAAATGGGGGTATCAATGCATTTGAAGGCTACAGGTCCCATTTATTTGTAAGTGGAAGTTAAGATTAATTTACAGTTGTTCCTCCATTGTTCTGCATAACTTTTAGCTTTTATTCCCTTTTTTCAGTTAATAGTATAGTATAGGTCAGCATCTCACAGAATGATTAGCAGATATGATAGTGGAATTAAATTACTTTCTTATGGCATTTATCAGTAATTGCTTATCTAAGAGTGACTTTTTAATGAAGTCTTTCACCTCTGTGTACACTTTTTTCCTAGAGTTTCCTTCCACTAGCTGCTCTTCTCAGAAGACTCATCTACTCCATGTAGATGTCTCTTCAAACCGCATCGTTAGCTCTGCTCTGTCTCTTGAGCTTCTGTGTTCTCTTCAGGGGGTTACCAGAAGTCTCTGCATACATGTGCCGATGTGGTCATGAGCAGTTAGTTCATGGGACAGTGAGAGCTTTTCTTCTCATTCTCTCTTATTGACTAGCTGGGAGTACTTAGACCAATTGCTTAATCTCCTAGGGCCTCAAATGGAGAGGATGATTAACTTCTTCAAGAGAGAAGATTGAACTAGATAATTTCTCAAGGTTTTAGATTTTAGGTCTAAAACCAAATTCATTATCCTTTCCTTGTATCTGCTTCCCCCTTTGAGATATTTCTTCCTCATCTTCAGATAACAGAATGATAGAAAACCATGAGATTTTAGGTCGGGAAAGGATATTGGAAGCTCTCCAACACAATTCCTTTTCTTTATTGTAATGGATGAGAAAATACATACATAGGTCCATTAAGTCCTTCTTCATCTCTAGCTCCATCAGTAATTGAGTCTCACCACTTCTCCTTTTGTAATGTCTCTCAGGCCTATTCCATTCTTTTCATTATCATCACTCCAGAGCAGGTCTTCATATCCTTATGTCTTGGTTCTTCCCAAAGTCACCACACTTTTTCTTGCCTTCATTCTCTTTCAGCTAATTCTGGGAAAGCTTCCAGATTACACACCCAAAAATAGTGTGATCATTATGACATGTTCCTGTGAAAAAAATATTAAATGGCTTTACTGTGCTCAAAAGATAAGGTTTAAGTTTTTTTTATTTGCAAACATTTTATTTCATACAAATTTCATATGGTACGAAAGTACTGCATGCTTGAGCCTGTCTCCCAAATTGAAGGTTCTTTCAGTTCTTCAGGCCAACCTTCCATCAGAGGCAAATAAATAAGAAACATGTCTTATTATGTAGAGCATATATAGAAAAGTTTCTTTTACAAGAACAAAAATATTGGGACATTTTGTATTTAGCACAGTTTAGCAATCTAGTTTATGTTGACAAATCAAGTTCATTACACATACAAAAGAACTTAATAGACAGCAGATACTTTAACCTGTAAGGAAAAAAATATCTGATTTAATTTTTTTCTTGTATTTTTTGAAGAAGATACTTCATCTGTAAATTCAGGTTTGGTTGGCCTTTTTTAGTCTTTTTACTCAATATTTTGAAAACTTTCATTTTCTTCTTTTTGTAGCACCTTTGAGCTTCTCTCTTGTTTTTGCCTCTCAAATTCTTATTTCTTAGCAGCACACTTAGCTTGTACCTGTTCATATTCTTCTTGTGCTTTTTGATTTGATGTTTTCTTTTTATATTTCTTTGGAATATTAAAGGACTTTACATTGTTTTTCTGGCTGAGCCTGGTCAAAGCTACAATGATCTTCAGACAAAGCCTGGTCAATGCTACACTGTTCTTCAGGCAAAGGCTGGTCAACTTGCTCTTCTTTTTTTTTTTTTTTTTTTTTGGACAGAGTCTCACTGTGTTGCCTGGGCTAGAGTGCCGTGGCGTCAGTCTAGCTCACAGCAACCTCAAACTCCTGGGCTCAAGCAATCCTCCTGCCTCAGCCTCCCGAGTAGCTGGGACTACAGGCATGTGCCACCATGCCCGGCTAATTTTTTCTATATATTTTTAGTTGTCCAATTAATTTCTTTCTAATTTTAGTAGAGACGGGGTCTCGCTCTTGCTCAGGCTGGTCTCGAACTCCTGAGCTCAAACAATCCGCCCGCCTCGGCCTCCCAGAGAGCTAGGATTACAGGCGTGAGCCACCGCGCCCAGCCAACTTGCTCTTCTGACAAAGGTTGGTCAACTTTTCTTAGTTGCTTCCTGAGTCTTTCCTCTTCAGCTAAATGGAGATGTTTCAGATGATCTGTGTATCGATCTTTGAATTGGGATTCCTGTGGTGTTTGAGACTTCTTTTTCTTTCATAACAATTTCTTGTAATTTTGCTGAATCTTCGGTTTTCTTTGAAATGCAAAGCCTTGTCCTTTGCAAACGCTCCCCACAAAGGCATACGAATAGTTAGGCCGCCATATCCTCTGTTTCACATTCTCATTCCTGAATCCGACTGAAGAACCCCCTTCGCCATGTGTCCCCAAACCCCTCTTCCGCTGCCACTGTGCCAACCTCATCGGTGCCATTTCCACAGACCCAGGTTTAAGTTCTAAGACTAAGCTAAGGAACATCGGACAAGCTACCTTTCCAGGCCTATCTTCTAATATTCCCCTCATAGTCAAAGCTCAGTAAGTATTTATTTAATTGAATTAATCTTCATACTTTCTAAACAGAAATCCTTTTCGCCTTAAGATAATTAAGATGTTCACATTTTTTTTAAAAAAGTAGTCAGGCAACGGAAACAAAGAAGGCAGATAAAAGTGAAGAAGATAGAAAAACGAGAGTTGAAGAGGAACAGAATGCATGCCTTTTCCATAGCTTCAATTTCTGTTCATTTTCTCCTGCTAAGTTTCAGATCCTTTAACCTACCCTTAGCTTACTGTGATTTTTCTTAGTAAGCCATATAGTTTTGTATCTTTGCACTAAAACTGCCAAGATGATTGGAAGACACTGAAGTTGCCAGACAGAAAAGTTTAAGATGCAAAGCAAGGTAGACGATTGTAAAGGACAAATACTTGTGGAGATATTAAGTGGGATCAGAGTATAAATATTTTAAAATTTGTAATAATTTTGATTCCGAAAGGCTAATTCAACTACAGGGTTTCTTTAGGTTTCAAAGTGGAGCTCTATTTTCGGGATTCCTTCAGTTCAAAAAGCTCTGAAAATTTTCCAACAATACAACCAGTTTCCTCTCGGTACACTGAAGAGATACGCATGTAGTTTCCTCTCCAACAGAAATAAATAGTGTACAAGCAGTCACGGACAGGGGGCTTATTCTAAATCAAGTACAGGGCTAAAGCCTCAGAGTCATTTTAATCTCTCGGTTTAGGAAGGTCAAGGTCACACTGCTATGGGAAAGGTGGAAGGCGGTATTTTGACCCAGGTCTGATTCTAAGTCCTTGCTTTTAAACTCGATGCTACAAAAAGGACTAGGGTAACCAAGAGGAACTGGCGGATCACACAAGGCTGGAGTTAGGCAGAAAGCCGACAGGACTCAGCAACTGAGCTTAGAGAGGAAAACGAGAGAGGAAACAGCCCACGGCGTCTGCCATTTTGCGGGAGCCGCGCGGCCGGAAGTCCCGCCGCCGGAGGACAGCGGTGGGCGGCTCGCAACCGGCAGGGCGGGGCCGGGGGCCGTGCTGCTCTGAGGCTCGAGCAGGGAGGCAGAGCCTGAGGGCGGGTTTGAGGAAAATGTGCCTCAGAGGCTCTAGGCTATGGGCGGAGCCTGAGGGAGGGGCGGGGCCTTGTGACCCTGGGCTCGAGGCTGTAGGCGGGGCCTGAAGGCGGGGTAGAGACCTGTGCCTCAAGGCTTGATGCAGGGGGCGGGGATAGGGGCGGGGATAGAGGGCGGGGCTAAGGCGGGGCCTCGCGGCCCGGGCCGGGAGGAGCTGACAGGGCCGCAGCGGCTAACCCGCAACCCCACTTTCTTGGAACGTGCCTGAGCTGCTGCAGCTGGCACCTGGCAGCGCTCAGCGAAGAGGGCTGGGGGCGGGAGATGACGGTGATTTCCTCCCTGCTTGGCCCTCGGCGAGCACCGACTCCCTTCTCCTCGCGGCCCCAGGGCTGCAGACGAAGCAGGTGAGCTGGACCCCCGGGGCGCGGACCTGCCCCGTCCTGGCTCGGCCTTGTGGGCACCGGGTACCACACCCCCGCCCCTTGGATCTGGGCAGGTGGGCAGTGCCCGACCCTCTGCGCCCTGGCTCCGCGGCCCGCTGCCTGAACCTGCCTGTCTCTGCCCCACAGCGCCTGCGTTTGGAACGTGTGAGACCACCGGGAAGGCTTGCACAGGGGAAGATGTGGCTTGTCCCCCACGGGGACGGAACTGCCATCCCCAGTTTGGGAAGCTCCCCACTGGACGTGCGACCACCCTGTCATTCTCGGACTCTTCCCTTTATCTGGAGGGTGGCCCAGGCACTTGGAACGTTGAGCCAAATTTTCTCTCTACCCCTTTTTGCACCGTTAGTTACCATGACGTTGGGACTCCATACCCTGGGAAGCGGAGTGACCACCTTTTCCCAGGCACAGACCCCAGGCTGCCTTTCCACTTCCACTGCTGCCTTCCTAGGCGTTGGGTGGCAGCTGTTCTCTGGGCAGCCTATTTGGTTAAGGACTTTCTGCACCTCTTATCTTGCAGGGCCAAAGTCTGTCCCTGCAGACAAGGGAAGGAGGCAGTGCTCAGAGCTCCCTGCACTGGGTCTCTAGGGAGGACATTTGGTCCCCTGCAAGTAGGTGGGAGTGGGTGAATGTTGTGACTGTTGATGTTGAAGAGTGCTTTAGTAGTATCACACTGTATTCTGCGTTTTCCCGGGGGATAAAGGATATTGGGTGTTTGAGAAAGAGCCTAAGAGTTTAAAGTTTTCTCCTTGAAGTTAATCAACTCTCCATTCACTCCCATTTTCACTTAATAATAGCAGTTTTTTACAATTTCAGTGGTTCATTGATGTTTAAGCCAAATGTGAAGTGGCCATATATACAGTAGCGTTTCTCTAGTCCCTGCCCCAGTCAGTGGTCCTTTACTGTGACAGGTCAACTTGTTTGTTCTGTAACAGGCCTTGTTTTCATAGATGAAAAGACTGAAGGTAATTTTTTTTAAAACTTCCTTTGCTGTAGTTCCTGTTCATTTAAAAATAATGCTCTAGAAAGCATATTTTCTTCCTGTACTAGGATGAGATAAAACTTCGTAAGTCTTTTTGATTATTTTGACTTTTTCCTCAGCAGGTATTGCTTTTATAATATTGAAAAACATTAAAAGAAACCCTTGGGAGGGGCAGATTACTTTTCAATGTTTTGTTGTTGTTTTTCAACTAATTGAAAGTTAAACCTGGGCATCGCTATAACTATCTGACCAACACCCTGAGAAAAATGAACAACTCTCCCTTCATTGTTAGCAACCATTTAAGATCAAACTAAATTAAATTCAATTCCTCTTAACTGTTTGGTATAAAACAAAACCTGATGACTTTATGACATATCCCATCCCTCGTTTTTTTTGGTTGGAGGATCTTTAATACCAAGTATGTTTGAAGAAATAACATAAGATTTACTTTGTTACCATTCTTCTTATTATTAGGACTACAGCTCCTAATAGCAATTGCTACCATTTCTTGAAAGCCTACTTTGTGATAAGCTGTGTATAAAATATTATATCCACACAATATCCCTCTAAGGAGATTTTTACTCTCATTTTACAGTTGAGGAAACTAAGGTTCAGGAAGGCTAAGTAACTTACCCAAGGAGTTGATAAGTGATAAGGCCCGGAATCTGTTTTACTCTTTTCACAGAACTACCACTAGTTTAGTTAAAACTGTGGGTCAAAAAAATTTATTGGGATGTGCTCATATGGTACAAATAAGGGGTTGTGAGCAGTATAAATTAGTAATACTCTGGGCGAAGAAACACAGGGAACTTTTGAAAAACATCACAAGACTGGACTTCTTTAGCACTGCCTTCCCAAGAACACGTTTCTTAAAGTTGCCACATGTTTAACACCTTTGTTTAATTGTTTACTAGCTCCTTATTTCAAGTATGGGTATTTGTACCAACCAGTAGCTTTCCCAGGATATAATTTGATGCTTATGTGGTAAACTTTAAGTATGTGAGTATTAGAGGTTTCGTGTACTATATTGACCACTCCTGTCTAATCCTGGTAGAAAAATACTAGTCTTAATCCAGATTAAATGTAAGGTTTTTAAATGGTTTCGTTTATACCAGGGTAGCACAGAGAAAATTCTCCTACACACCCCCATGTATCGGTTGTTGGTGATCTCTGGCCTGCTGCCTGAGTCTTTTTAATGTGATGTAGATGTTTGAGAACTTAACCTGGGCATTGTAAATTTCAGGAAGCATGAGCTTTTTACTTTCTGCCTTATATAAGGCCATTTTAGATGGTAAACCCAGAGTAATCACTTAGAAATTGACAATTGACATCATATTAGTTTCAAGATACTAATAAAAGCTGATTAATTTTAGAGTTATCCAGACCTCCTGTGCATTGTGTCCCTGGCAGCAAGAGGGGAGTTGATAATTATTGTAATGTTAGCATAAAGAATTTGTTCCTTGCTTTAGCGTTTTCTGAACATCTTTGGAACATTTTACAACACATTTTGTGTTCTTTAACATTTTGAGAACATGTTAGGACACATTTTGTGTTCTTGGACTTGTTAGTATAGTTAAAAACAGGGTACTTCATCATTTGGAAAAAAAATTTTTTTCTGTCCGTGAACTAGATAGTGCCTGAAAGAGAATATTGATTCATGAAAGGGTAAAAGGTTTATATAAGTGCAAGTTATTTTAGTCATTCATTAAAAATGACAGTGTCTCCTGTGTGCCAGGTGTGTGCTAGATGTTAGGGACACAACGGTGAGCAAAAACATGCAGTCCCTGCTTCTGTGACATTTAAAATCTAGCAAAAGAGATGGCATAAATTAAATAGTTACTCTAATGCATAGCATAATTGCAGACTGAGAAAAGTGACCTAAAGGTAAGTAATGAGAATCTATTTGAGAAAAAAATCGTAGCCTGGCTGTGTGGTCAGAGAAATCTTACCTGATAAAGTGACACCTGAACTATATGATTTGGAGGATAAATAGTTGTTAATTAACTATGTGGAATGTGGCAGGTGGGTGGGTGGAAAAAAGAACATTTTAGAGTGAGCGGAATGTGCAAAGTCCCTGAGGTACAAAGGGACTATGGGGCCAGTGTGTCAAGGCTGGTGTAAAAGAAACTAAAAGTAGGTTGGTGAGATACCATCATTTTTTCTTTCTTTCTCATATGTTCTACCAAAATTTAAATATTTAACTTTGGCTGAGTGATTACTCTATACCAGATGTGATTCTGAGGATTTTACTTGAATAATCTCAAGTTCCTATGAGGTAGGTACTATTATTACCATTTCACAAATGAAGAAAGTGAGGCACAGAAAAGTTATTGATTCAAAGTTTTTAAGTGATCGTTGACTATATTGTTCTTTCTGTCCTATACTCAAGTATGACCACGGGCTAGAAAGAACTTTCTAGTCCTGGTGTGACTCTTTGATGTAGCCCTGAGAACTTCTGAAATTTCTGAAGAAGCATACATTCAGCAGAGACTCTGTGGGCCCCATGCTCTTATCCACCTGACACAGCTTAACTGTGGATCCCTGGAAAGAGCTATAGGGCATGACTGCGGCTGTCATATCTGTGGATCTTATTTTACTCATGTCTGATACTGCTAAATATAGAACAGCAACATAAATATGTTGAGCTGAACTACCTTTGAGAGTAAAGAGGTTATTGTTAGCAACCCCCCCACTTTTTTTTTCCATTGTATTTTTCCCTGGTGGTAGCTGAGAGTATGTATGTTTTTTTGGCTATTTAAGAAATAAATAAATCTAGGTTTCCCAGTGTAACATTTCAACTAGAATTCTTATCATCACACTGAATCTTTGTTCCTTTCTTTCCAGAGATCTGGTTGGAGTTGGAGGTTGAAAGAAAATGAATTCCTTTTCTAGTTTACCTGCAGAGAACGTAACCATTGCAGTCAATATGACCAACAGTTTGCCTACAACAGTAACACATGGATTTAATTCCACTAATGACCCACCTTCAATGTCAATAACAAGGCTTTTTCCAGCCTTACTAGAATGCTTTGGCATAGTCCTTTGTGGCTACATAGCAGGAAGGGCCAATGTCATAACATCAACACAGGCCAAAGGACTGGGAAATTTTGTCTCCAGATTTGCACTTCCAGCTTTATTATTCAAAAACATGGTTATACTTAATTTTTCCAATGTTAATTGGTCTTTCCTATATAGTATCTTAATTGCCAAAGCTTCTGTATTTTTTATTGTATGTGTATCAACTTTATTGGTCGCCAGTCCTAATAGTCGATTTAGCAAAGCTGGACTATTCCCTATATTTGCTACACAAAGTAATGACTTTGCATTGGGATACCCTATAGGTAAGTTATTTTTTATTTTTCAAGATTTTAAAAAATTCAATTGGTTTAGGAGGTAACAAAATATAAGCTTTTAATTTAAGCATTTGTTAGCAGCAGATGCCTACTCTTGTATCTAAGAAATCTTTAATTTTTTTCTTAAATATGTCTAAAATTGGGATGAATTATATTTTTTCCTCAACTTCAGAGTTTGAGGATCCTTTAATCATCTACTTAAATGATCATATCCTAGTAATTTTTGTGAATAGTTTTTCTAATAGTATTCTTTTTCTTCTTAGTAATCATATATGAAAAGTTTAATTTTCAGAAGGGATTTGGTTCTGATTTGAATTATATAAAAAGGATAGGCTTATGTCTGTATTAAAATAGTCATTATTAAATGTTAGTAGTGATAATTTATGAGTAATTTTTCCCTCTTATTTTTCTTACCATCTGGAATATGTATTTTTTTACATTAGAATTGTTTTTGAGCTCATTATTCAAAATTTTAATGTATTTTAGTTGAAGTTAATTTCTTGTTTAAAAACAAAAATAGTGATGGCTTTTTTTTTTTTTTTACCTTTCTCACTTTTCTTTTTTTACCTTTCTGACTCTTTAAGCAGCCTAATTTTATGTTTTTATGTGTGTATATGTTCCTGATGAGACAGTAAACATACCAATTTGGGATGCTGGGATATCTTGAAAGAAAACATTCTATTTTTTAGAATACTTTGCCACCAAGAAAATGTACACCTAGTAACTACTTTTTTAAATTTTAAAATTAAAATTACGTGTACTTTGATCATGTATCATAATGTGAGAACCTGAATATTGTGGATATATTAATTTATTCACTCATGGGGAATGTACCATTATTCATTCACAGTTATGTAGCAGTGACTGCGCTAGCTGCTGGGAATATGCCTGCGAACAAAGTTCTTGCCCATACTAAATTTATGTTTTAATGGAAAAATAAATAAAATTAAAGTTAAAATCATTTCAGGTGGTGACAAGGGCCATAAAAATAAATAAAGTAGTTTAGAGGGATAGGAATGAGAAGGTGCTATTTGAGGTAGGGTGGACAGTGAAGACCTCTCTGAGGATATGTCTTCTGAGCAGAGACTTGAGTGGAACGTATTAAAGGGTACAACTGAAATCTACCATTAACTTTCAAGTTTCTTATCTAGTAGTTTTATCCTCTTCCCCTACTCTCAGCTTATTTCACCACTGGCACCCAAAAGATTCTAGTGAACTATACTTTCACCTTTCTCTACCTTTGACCTTCCTCCATCTTGCTTACCAGAAAGAGAGAAATATCTAAGAAATCAAATATCTGTAAGTAAAGCAGGAGGTTTAAGACAGAGGAAAAACTAGGATCTTGACAATTGAGCTGCAAATAGTCAGAAACTAGATAGGTGTTCCTTTAAGGTTATTGAATTTTAAAATGAAATAAAGACTTGGAAATAAAAGAGCAAGGAGTTATTGTGTTTGTCTATTTCCTTGGGAGCATTAATAATGTAAATTTGTCAAGGTATTATGGTATAAGGACCTCAGAAGTGTCTCCGTACCATAGTGTTAAATATCTACTAAATATTACTATATCTTACTTTAGACATGAACTAGAAGTATATAGTTTCATGCTCTCATAGATTAGTAAGCCCATAACTAAACAGAACTAATATTTGTAACTTTATAGTTTACAGAGTACTTTCTTCTTATATACTTACCTCATTTGAGTAGGGCAGATATTATTATCCTCATTTTCAAACAAGGAGACAGGCTTAAAGAGATTTAAATGTTTTATCCCAGGTCACACAGCTAACAAACAGGTGACTGAGACCCAAACCTAGGTCTTCTGGTTCCAAATCCTGGGCATTCTCTGATGCCACAGTTATATAACATGCCAACTTAATCTTCAGAAGACTCAACCAGCCTTGTAATATATTAGTTTCAGAAAGAATCAAAGGTTTTTTTCTCTATATTATTCTAAAAATATTGCATAAAATCAGTAGTAGCGGAAAAGGACCTATTAGACGAGTTATTCCATGTTCACATCAAGGCAGAACTTCCAAATAAAAAATATAATCGTCCATTTCATCACTGCTTTTCTTATGTCCCACATTAAATCAGTGAATCTGGTAATAATCATGTTTATAGAAGTGTACTAGCCCAAATTTCCATGACGATTGTGTTTGTCAATTTTGAGGTGTAATTTTTGTTGGGGTTTTTTGTTTGTTTTTTAATCACGATAATAAGAGCTCTTGTAACATTAGGTTGTAGACTATGACTTTACTAAAAACCAGTAGTATAGACAGAAGTGCTTTCTCATATACTACACGTTGAAAGGTGTGGTGCAGAACTGTAAAGGCTGTGTTTCTGCTCCCTAATGAGGTTATTTAGTATTGCTGCCTGTGCCCTTCTGCCTTCTGGCCTTGCACAGAGCGAACAGAGGAGACTGTCTCCAGAAAGAAGACCTTTCTTTCTATTTGTTTCGTGATCTCTCCAAGGAATTCTCACTATTTTATTTACAGATGAGCATTGATCATGGGTTATAAGAAATGTCCTTTTTAAGACGTCATTTTAAAAAAAAAGACTACATTTTTTTCCACATCTGTCTAATTTATAGGTGACTCAGGAAATGCAAGGAGAACATAGATAAGTAAATGAATAAAGAAAAGGATGTTTCCTTTTCGTATGTACTGTGACAACTGTAATGGTCTATGAAATTACATTAAAATGATTTTACTCAAGTGACAGAATATAGCATTATTACAGACTAAAAAAGAAGCTTACGGTTTTTTAGACCAGTTCTTTTCAAAAGTACTTTAAAAATCCAAGTGTGAGTAGAACCCAAGAATCTACCAAGGTGAAATGTTGATTTCAGCAAATCAGAATGGTTCCCTGCCTCTGTCATTAAAAGATACTAATAGGGCATAGTTAAGTCCTGTAATTTATTCTTCAAACAATGCTGATAGCATAAGTACCCTGACTAATCATAATTATGCTCCAGTGCTTGAGCTGTAAACAGAAAGGAAATGAAGCATTTAACTATATGCCATTAAATAATAGAATGATCTTGTCTGGGTCTTTGTGTTTTATGTGCTAGGACTTAAAACCCTGCAGGAATCAAAATAGGAGACACAGTAGGTGGCTAATTTTGTCTCTTAGTCCTCCAAAGCTGTATAATAACTACTTATGATGGGATTCTCCCCTCCCTCCAAGAGCCTTTTTTATTATCATTAATTAATTAGAACTTAAAAGTTGATACAATGATTATAAATCTAATTTTAGTTACTGTAGGTCAGTGCTTTCATATATTTTTTTTAGATTTGAAAAACTAGATAACAAAAGAGAAGCACTGCCAATTTATAGGGAAAGATGTAATGTTAAGTAATTATGCAAATGAATGGCAGAAGTATACTAGAATTCCTGTGTTAAACCCTAATCTTCTAGTGATTTAACAAAGATTTATTGAATCACAATTTTTTGCTGTCCCACTAGTCCATACTTCTTTTGCTTTTGTATATTTGTTCAGCTGACTTGAAATACCTCAATAGTAACCTGCTTCATAAATATTCAGAATGTGTAAAAAATCTTTTAAAAATGCATATAAAATTTCAGTTAGGAGGAATATATTTAAGAGAGCTATTGTACAACATGGTGACAATGGTTGAATAACAATGTGTTGTACTCTTGCAAATTGCTAAAAGAGTAGATTTTAAGTGTACTCATCACAAAAAATGATAAACATATGAGATAATACATATGTTAATTAGCTTAATTTAGTCATTCCACAGTGTGTACATATTTCAAAACATGTACGTGATATATATATAATTTTTGCCAATTAAAAATAATTTTGTAAAAAGCAAAAATAAAGTTAAAAATGGATACAAAAAGAAATGGATTAACTTTTAACAATTAGATATAAATTACTATGTGTTATAAAATACATTTTTACTATATCTGAAACCTTTGACATTTATTGATGTGTCAGATCATTCCATTCAGCAAGTATTTTCAGATTTGCTCAGCATTGTACTGGGGACTGTGGGTTATAAAATGATGCCTTCAAGGAACTTAGAATTTTTTGAGGTGGCACTAATATGAAGCAAAGTATCATAGCATTCCAGAGAAGTGGAAATTAATAATGTAGATTGAAGACTTGCTGGAAGAAGTAGTACCAGAGACACGCCTTAAGCATTAAGTAAAAAAAGAAAGATTTCAAAAAGTTAGAGGATGATGGTATGGTCAGCATGTAGAACTAGTAATTATGAACATGGTGTTTGTCTGGTATAATTATGCTGTTAAACCGGCTGATGGAAAAAGAAGAAATAAACAAGAAAACCAAACTGATGGAGTCTTTGCATTAAGAAGTAGTAAGAGATGAGTTGGATAAATAAGGGACCAATTGTGGAGACAGGGCTATGAATGTCAAAAGAAAGGTTTTATAGCTGTTCTGTGGGCTGTGAGAGCCATGGGAAAATCTTAACTTTTAAAAGCTAACATTTAGATGGTACTGTTAGCAGTGAATAAAATGGACAAAGGAGGTGATTGAGATAAACAAAAAGAATATTGGTTGGTAAACACATTAATCTAATTTTGAGATTTTTAAGAAATGATAGTGGTAAGAATCAAGAGGAGAAAATACAAAAGATCCTGCTAAAGAGGAAAGTACTTGATAGTTGGCCAGACATAAAAAAACTGTTGTTCAAATTTGCATTGAGCAAACAATGGAAAGTTCATTATGTGATAGTTGTTGACTGCTAGTATGCCAGGAAAGTAAATTACTGGAAAAAGGCAATTATATAAGGGGCTTTGAGTGATTGCAGAATTGTAGCTGTGTTGTCAAAGGAAACACCTTATGCATTTTATTGTCGCTGCTTAGGAAAAATTCTTATGCTCAGATTGAGAACACTTTTCCAAAATATACACTCTATTTTAAAAATTGAGTGGTGGGCAAGTATGGACACTTTTCTCTTGACTTAGGATATCTAATCAGAAGTGTAGCTATCTAGAAATAGTTAGAAAAAGTGTTGTTTTTTTACTTAAAAGATGAAACCTGAAACATAAACGAAAACCACTAAGAGTTATAGAACTAGCATATTGAATTTGGAAATCAGTGGAAAGAATTTATGAAATTTTATATAATCAGATGTTTTTAACCACTGCTTCATTTTGGAGATATTATAACCTCTGAAGGTGCTTAACTGAGAAAATGGGGATTGAATCTTATAACAAATAGTTTTAGCTTATGAGAAAAAGGTGAACTTCTAAAGGTTATATAATCTAGTTACATAACTTTAACAGTTCATGTGCATGACATAACTGAACTTACATATCCTGATTAAGTAAACAAATGTATTTTCCTACCTGTGTCATTTTATCTTCATGTAAATTGAGAAACCTAATCTTTTACATTTTTTCACACAATTGCCTCTCACCTTGTGAGTGTCTGTTGCTGTTCTTTTTTTATCTTTCTCAACTTCAAATCAATTATGAATCAGCCTTTGTATGCATTAGATTGTATAATGTACACTTCCATTGCCAAAAATGTGCCTAGAGACCAGTTGTTTACTGCAAGGCTCTAAGTTGCCTCCAGTCCACCAGGAAACTGCTAGAAGTCTGATCCAGCCCCCACACCTCCCTCATGGGATAAGGAAACACATTTTATGCAGTGGTTAGGATCTAAAGTCATCAGGTATACCTAAATCCTTGAAAAAATTCCTTAAATCTCCCACAAAATACAGCACACACACTTTGTCTATATTGTACCATTTCTCATAAGTCTAACACAGACAGTTTTTTTCTATACTATTGTTCTTCCTCAATGAACAGCAGGTGAAATAATTAGTTTGCACTTGAAAATATGCCACAGGGGAAAAACATGAAGGTTTTGTTTTCCTGAGAGGGTGCAGTTGAATTTGTGTTAGTTAAATGTGCATTGATGTGACTCCACTGTATCTCCCTCCCAAACATTTCTTAGATCCACCTTTCTAGTTCTACTTCTTCAGCATCTTCACTGGGCTTCCTTGAAAGCATCCATTCCCTTTCATTCCTCTCAGATGGAGGCTGTTCATTTTTGCATAGCCCGCACACCACACGAGCAATGGTAGGTAGGACTGGCATCCCCATAGCTACTGTGGACTACTGCTAAGCCATTACTCTCTGCTCTGTTGTTAAAAAACTATAATACTTTGAGGTTTGTGCTGTCTAGACCACTCAACCTCATTGCTGTCACCTGCTGATGTCATTCTAGTTATTACCCCTCATTCATTGAAGACTTTAATATCCAGCTCACTGTCATCTTCTTTATCCCTGTTTTGCCATTTTCTTGTTTGTGGCTAGCCTTGTGAACTATCTGTCAAATGCTCCGCCCTCTCAGTTCCTTGACCTCATCTCCAGTGATTTTTTTGCTTTACTCCGTTTCACCCACCAACTCCTATGGCCACATCCTGGACTTAGTCATCTGGAAAATACTAAATTCAGTAGATCACTATCTGACTGACTCTGACCACCTACACTTCCAACTGCACTTAATTCTTAGGCTTCATAGGGGCCTGAAATCTCTGATGCCTCCAGATTCCGTTAGCCATCTACCATCTTCACTTCTTTTCTGTACAGTGTGGACTCCATATCAGTGCTCATTTTTTAGTTCCTTGTCACCTACTATCTCCTCAATCCTCTGTAATCTGACTTCTGTCTCACCATTCCAGTAAAACCGCTCTTTCCATGGGTACCAACAACCACCTTGTTGCTATTACTACTTAAATGTTTAGTTCGTTACTAGATTTTTACTTTGAATTGTTTCTTTTAAAAATTCTACAATTCTGCCCTTATTTGGAGAATAATTTTAGCCCCTAGATAGTAAAAATTAGTGCATTTTTACTAAAAATAATTTTTAAGGTTGGCTATTATTTTGTAAGCCAGATGATATTTATTATGGGTTTTTTTTTCAGCTTTATTACTAAAATTTACTTTTCCAAAATATGCTAATGAGGTCATTTGGAACTATTTAGATTAATTAACAATTGCTATAATTAAGCACAGAAGAAAATGTTATGTACATATTTATGTGTTTTTGTAATAATCATTTAAAAATCAATATTCTTGTTTTGCAGTTGAAGCTTTGTATCAAACTACATACCCAGAATATCTCCAGTACATTTATTTGGTGGCACCAATATCTCTTATGATGTTAAACCCTATAGGGTTTATCTTTTGTGAAATCCAAAAGTGGAAAGATACTCAAAATGCTTCTCAAAACAAAGCAAAAATTGTCGGACTTGGATTTCTGCGTGTATTACAGAACCCAATAGTATTTATGGTCTTCATTGGTATTGCTTTCAATTTTATTCTTGATCGAACGGTGCCTGTATATATAGAAAATTTTCTCGATGGACTTGGAAATTCTTTTTCTGGATCAGCCCTATTTTATCTTGGTCTTACGATGGTAGGAAAAATAAGGAGACTGAAGAAGTCAGCATTTGTTGTACTGATTCTTCTCATCACAGCTAAACTGTAAGTTTCCCTTATTTAATTTGGGAATTGAAACTTGTGAAAGCCTTGTTTAGTCAATTCATTGGGAGGTGCCTGCGACTATTTTCGCCCTTGAATATGAATGATCCCTCCTTATAAAGTAGTAGTGATTTAAAGGAAAATGTGATGTTGGTGTATTGTGGAAAGTCATTGCTGTATACTGTGTAGATTATTCTTTCCATTTTACTATCAGAGATGATTGGTTTCACTTCAGTTTTTAAGTAAAGTTTACTTAATATCTCCTAATGTACCAGTGTGATAATATATTTTTAAAGGAATTTTGCAGGATTTCTGAGTTTTCTAAATTCATTAAAATCCTAAAGGCAAAATCATTTTAGTAATAATAAGAATAATAATTTTTAATATAAACTTTTTCCCATGAATTTGGGGGAAATATTTTGTAACTCTGAGGTTAATTGAGCTCTCTAAATACAGGTGAGTGAATATGAAGCATTATAAACAGCCATCTGGTCCCAGCCTGTCAAATAAAAAGTTTTTATCAGCCCTTAGTTAATAGTGCTTCACCTTGCTTATACTTCATGGCACAGGTGACATAATTTTACTGCAAGATTATCTCAAATATTTGAGGCATGCTTAATTATGGAATTCAGCTCTTATATAGACAGTTAAATTCATGAGACCAGTTTAATATAGTGTTTATTTTTCAAAATAATAAAAATGAATGTAAGGCTGAAAGTTATTTATGGTGCTTTTATGCTCTTTAGAAACAAAGTATTAATTAGTATTGCCACAGTAATAAATATAGTTCTAACAATAATAGTATTATCAACTTCCACTTAGAATTTAAATATTCTAACTTAATTTTGGGGACTTTTTGATTCTTACTAGATATCGATTTAATTAAAATAAAATGTCCAATAAGAATTAAATATCTAATATTTAATTAAATAATTGTTAATTAATTTAAATATAAATTTTAATTGGGTTTTAATTAGTTTAAAATAATTGACTCTTCCCCAGGTCTGGATTTCACTCAGTTTCCAGTCCACCTCCATTTCCATTGTTTCAGTTCCCTTTGCTAACCCTTTTTATATTTACAAAGATGAAGAACTAATTTTAAGATGCCTATTTTTGTACAGGTTTTTGGAGTGTTTTTGAGCAGCATTGTTATCATTAACTGAACCATTTAAACCCCTAATCATAATTAAAGTTCAGCTTTTTTTTTTCCTAAAGAGGAGTTTAGTAATTTTCTTGAAAGAAATTTTTACTCAGATTGTCAACCTTTTTCTTTTAATGTTTCAGTGAACTAATAGAGGAAGCAAGAAAGCAGCTATAATTGCAATTTTTACCAAATTTTTGCAAGAAAATTATTTGTAGGACAACAAAAATCTAAGTTTTTTCTTCCTTATCTCTGATGTGTGAAGTATTTCCAGAATATTTTTACATTTTAAATGACTCCAAGTTAAATTCTTGATTCTTTCAACAAAGTGTTCAGAAGTAGGTATACACAGAATATGTACATGCAAATAGATACATCTTCTGGGCAGAAGAAGAATAACCTAATACCAAGTTCACCAGAGCAATCTACAACTTGGGGAGGAGCATACTTCAATATCAAGTAAACAATGTATTTCTTCTTTCTTCAGCTTGGTGCTGCCACTCCTATGCAGAGAAATGGTGGAACTCTTGGACAAGGGCGACAGTGTAGTGAATCATACAAGTTTATCGAATTACGCATTTTTGTATGGTGTCTTTCCTGTAGCACCAGGAGTGGCTATCTTTGCAACACAGTTCAACATGGAAGTAGAAATTGTATGTATATACTACTGTCTAAGTTTGATTATTTGTGTGTTTAGTAGGAAAGTGAATTTTTAAAACATACAACGCAACATTGTTTTTATGGGAATTTGATGTCTAAGAACTACCTCACTGTAAGTAAAGAGGCATTGTGTAACATCATGTTACAACAGTTATGTAATCTGGGACCTTTATTCAGCCATGACACTTTTCATTAGTCTGTCCATTCATTCATTCATTCATATGTGATCCTCCTGCCTCAGCCTCCCAAAGTGCTAGGATTACAGGTGCGAGCCACCATGCCTAGCCCTCATTAGTCTTTTGAAATTTCAATTATTTTATTTCTATACTTATCCTGAAGGCTAAAAGTTATTTACGGAAGGGTAACTTTCAAAATTTTGAGGAAAAAAATCTATTTCATTCATTGGTAATTCAACCACCAGATGCAAAATACCACATAACCGACTGCAAGAAATAGCTAAAATCAATTAACACCAAATTATTAACAATGTCTAAGTGTATTGTACATGCTACCTACAGCATTAGAGCAAATGATTGTGAAATATAAAGGAATTTAATTGTTTAATGAAGGTCATTTCTATTTAATCTGTAAAGTGTTTGCATGGTAATTTTCTCTTTTTGAATTGTATTTTTTGCTTTAAGTTTTATGAAACAGTATGGAAGGAAACTGTTCACAGGTTTAGTTAGATCACTGATATTATTTACTGTCCAGAACCTAGAAGATAACCATCAACAGTGGAATTTCTGGGCCTGGAGCAGTGGCTCACTCTTGTAATCCTAGCACTCTGGGAGGCTGAGGTGGGAGGATCACCTGAGGTCAGAAGTTTGAGACCAGGCC